AGACAGCCCCTGGAGAAGCCCCCCGCCCCAGGCATCTGCCCCCATCCTCTGGCTAACTGTAGGGAGCTGGGCTCTGGTCCAGAGTTTCCAGGTCACCATGGCCACAAGCCCAAAGTTGCATGAGAAGGTCATGAGAAAAGACCTCCTGAGAAGTCTACTCTTCGCATCCTGGGATTATCCACTGACTGGTCACAAAGGAGGGAACCGTCTGAATGGCCTATGCTGGACCAGACTGTAGATCGGGGGTCTTCCAAGGGCTCCAGTTCCAAAGCGGAGGGTAACATCGTGACAGCGCGCACAACATGTGTCCCTGCACACGTGTACTTTTAAGACAGGAGGAGCTGGGGCTTGCACGAGATTCTCAAAGGGGCCCATGACCCCAACCTCTGGCCCCAAGTTCCCCCCGAGTCACATGACCGCTGTTGGGCCATCCTAGTCGTCCAGGGTCTCTCTCCTGTTTAAGGATGTGCCCAGCCCTGATGCACCCCTCGTGTTCCCTTGTCTCCTGCCCCTTCCAGCAGCAGAGAGGGCACAGGTGGATTTCAAACCCCCCTCCTGCACACACCCTTCAGCCTCCTGGTGACCTGAGCCAGGTTTCTCTCTCCATCCCAGAGATGCCACCCTCCATCCAAAATAGAGGTCCCAATGGCATTGACCCCTGACAACAGAGAGGGCCCAGTTTCACACTTGATCCCACAAAGGGGCCAAATCTCATGGTAAGATGACCTCTTCCGTGAGAATTCCTGGTGTCCCTCAGCTCCTTCAGGCATACGCGGCTGACTCCACCCAGGCGGTAGAGATGAGCGTGCCTGCCAAAGACAAGGGAGGAGAGGCCCAGAACGTCTCCCATGTCCTTTCTGACGGACCAGGTGGCTCAGGATGGTGCAGGGTAACCAACAGGCAGGGTTATTCCCACTCAGGGTGATGCTCCTGCCTCAGGCCAGTGGGGAGTGAGATGGTCCCCTTGCAGCCTGCACCACCTCTAGGACATCTTACCTCTAAACTCCCAGTCGTTCCCCTCACTCTCACCAAAATGCATGTACATATGTGTGTATATATATTATATTAATATATATTAATATAATACACATGCATATATACTAAAATGAATAAAATAAAGGACACTCTAAAACCTCCTTTCGCCTAAAACAAGTCCCTCTCCGGGAATTTAATTTCAGTATAAATTTCCTGCAGCCAAAACTTCTTTTAAGGAGAAAAGAACCGGCCAAGCCCGTGCTGGGTGTGAGGCAACAATGCCACGAGAAACTGAAGAGGAGGTAAAGAAAAAAACGCCAACCCCAACCCCCCCCGGAGCTTAGAGCCCCGGGCACACCGAGCCGGAGGGGCGGGGGAGCAGGGGCGGGGACAGTGCGTTCTGAACTTTCCCTAGCGAGCCACCGGGACATGCAGCTCCCAGGGGACCGGGTGGGACGAGAAAAGGCTGAGCCGACCTGTGACATCGGCGGGGACGGGAAGCCAGCCTCGCCTCCTCCTAAAAGGAGCTCTGCCCCCAGCAGGCGCCCCCCCCCCCCGACACCAGCCAGCGCCCCCAGGCTGGGGCGGCGCGGCGAGGGGCGCCCACACAAAAGGGGGAGCGGCCGGGGCAGGGGCTCAGGGCGGCGCCGGCTCGGGGAGGCCTCGCAGCCCATCCCGCCGCCGCCCGCCCGCCCGCGACCACCCCACGAGCCCCGCTCCCCGCCCCCCCTCCCGGTGCCCGCCCGCCCCTCGCGCCCACGGCCTGGGGGAGGAGGGGGCTGGGGGAGGAGGCGCGGGCCGCGAACCGGCGCACGCGGCTGGGGCGGCGCGAGCTCCCGGGAAGCCGCGGCGGCAGCGCCGGGGATCAAACTCGCGTCGGCTCCGGCCCGGCCCTCCCGGCGGCGCCACGGCGGTCGGCGCCCGAGAAGGTGGGGCCGCCGGGCCGGGGCCGGAGTCGGAGCCGGTTCGCGCGGGGGAGCGAAGGGAGGGTCTTACCGAGCAGCCGCCACGCGCGTCCGCTGCCCGCGGGCCGGAGGGGCCGGCGGGCGGGGGAGGGGCCGCGATCCCGCGCCGGCGGCGGTGGCGGCGGTGGCGGCGGCGGGCCCGGCGCGGCGGCGCGGCTGGGGCGCGGGAGGCGGAGAATGCGAGGCGAGGCCAGCTTCCTAGCGGCGGGCGGCGAGAAATGCAGCTGTCCCTGCGCGGCCGCCGGCGGGGCCACAAGTGGGGCCGCGCGGGGAGGAGCGGGGCCGCGGGCGGGGCGCGGGCCAGGCCGCGGCGCCCCCAGACCCGCTCGGAGGCCCGACCCCCTCCGAGAGAGGAGGGAAGCAGGAATAATGGGGGGGGGGGCGGGAGGCGGCTCAGTCGCGGGGCTGGGGGGCCCCGGGGGAAGGTTAGCGGGGTCCTCCCTGGGTCGCCCCCACACCAGCCGCCGGGAGCCCCCACCGGCGGGCCGGAGGGCGTGAGCTAGGAGCCTCGGTCTCCCCGGCTAATGGGGTGCGGGGCGTCCTGCCCCTCCCTGCTCGGGGACCGGCGCCGGGAAGGCGCTCCCAGAGACGGGCCGGGGTGGGGCGGGGACCCGAGCGCGGGGCTCGGAAGGCCACCTAAGAGCAGAGCTGCCCGAGCACATCTGGACCTGAGACAGCTGAGGTGTGGGGGAGGGGCGGTCCCTGGGAAGTTAGGGCTCCTCAAAGGAAACAAAGTGCTGAGGTCGGAGGAGGTGGGGGGGGGGGTCAGGAGATCAAAGCTGTTACCCATCACATCATCAGATACCTTCTGCCACCTCCCCATCTTCTCCCAGTGTCTCTGGTCACTTGGGGGGCTTCTGAGCCCTGAGAAAATCTCCACAGAAGAACTTGTCCAATACATGGGAAATCCGTCTTGACTATTCTTTGTCCATGTGGTTTGGCTTCAGACTTCAATGTGTGTGTGTGGGGGGGGGGGGCAGGCAGGTGGCGACGGCCCAGCATCCTGCATTGGAGAGGAGCTAGCTGCCTAGGAGACCTGAGGAGGGCGAGGTTCCAGCCCTGCCCCCCAGACAGCTCACACAGGGTCTGCAGCCTCCTCTTAGACAGCCTGCCTTAGAGGCCCACTTCCCCCTGGGCCCAGACTCCAGGGAATAGCCCCTCTCTCCTCTTCCTCTGAGGGCTTCCCCCTAGCTCTGTGGAGACAAGTCAACCTGCTCAGCCGCAGAGACATCTGATGGTAAAAACCACAAACCAAAGTGCCCCAGACACCACGTGTTTCTATGATTTGCATGTCAAGGAAAGGCTTCTGTAGCAAGTTGGGAACCCAAGAGGGGGAGAAACCTCAGAACCACACCCTCCTTGGGAAGGTCCAACATCAGGTTCCCATGCTGCTCCAGGGCAGGTGCCCAGACCCTCTGAGGGTCTCCTCTCCCACACCACCCCCCATTCTCCTTCACTTGGTGGTACATTCCATGGGGGGAGGGGACTTGAAATCTCAGGAAGTAGTCCCTAGACCCCAGATTAAAGACCCTTAACCTAGATCAACTGACTCCTGCTTCCCTGCTGGCTCCTGGCTCCTGTCCTGAAGTTGTAACTGGGAGTTTGGGATTGATCCTCCTTGCCAGTCTTCTAGATTATGTCATCACGTGTGTTACCTTATTCCAGCCCACAGTGGGGTTCACCTGCCACTTTTCTGCACACTTGCAAGATCCTTCTGCAGTTCCTCCCCGTCACCTGCGGAGCCCAGAAAAATGCATCCAGACTTGGAGATACTGCTATTTGTATTCGCCCTGAGTGTTCATAAAACCTTTTAATGTAATTAATATAGTCATCAACTGAAACCAGTCACTCGAATGGATGCTCTTCATTTGAAGGACACTTTCTTGGGCATTGCTAACTTACTCTTCCTTTCAGGGCTGTCTTTCTGGACGCTTTTCCTCAGACCCCTTCCCTGCCTCTGATACCCCGCCCCTCCCGCCTCGTAACCTCCCTCACTCCCACCACTATCTCTGAGCGTAAGTTCCCCAGAGGCTCCCAGGCCAGGCCTGCAGAGCCTGGACAACTCACAGGCAAGGAGGCTAAAATGGATCTCCGAGCCCTTGCCTCCCCAACCTCCTCCTCCTCCTCTTCGGCGGCTGGAACCCTCAGTCCTCAGTGTCCCTTGCCCTACATTCTGTTGGTTACCAAGTCCTGCTCCTTCCTCCTCGGCCCCGACCCCCACCTCCTTTCCCTGCTTCTGCCCTGGGTTGGGCCCCTATTGTCTCTGCTCATCTCAGAGGATGACATGTGCTTTCAGGCCCATCCCCACGCCCCAGGACACTCCATGGGTTCTTTCTTTCTCCCCTTCTCTCTGCTTCATACCTACAAACCTGAAGGATGCCCCCTTTTGACCGAGCCTGTAACCCTGCCCTGCCCTCAGGCCATTGCCCTGGTTCTCTCTTGCCCATTCCTCAATAACTCAATTGATGTCCTCCAAAAAGAAACCAGACATGCTGTCAGCTCCCTCAATCCCCATTGTATCCCGCAGTCTAGACCCTTCCCCCAGCATTCCCAGCACAGTTAACACCTTGAAATGACTCCCACGGCTTCCCACCTACTTTGTTTTTCTTCCTTTCTTCAGCCCCGGCCCCAGGAGCTTCCCCAGGGCACAGTCCACTTACCTTTTCCTTAAATCCACAGCTCCCAGGAAGTCCTCGCAGTGGGGCTAGAGTGGGGCGGGTACCAAGCGCTGATTGCCCCACTTACATGCTGCAGGACTTCAGGGCAGTTACTGAACTTTCTCTGGACCTGTTTCCTCACCTGAATTCGGAGCTCACAACAGTGCCTACCTCCAAGATTGCCGTGAGGTCTACACAAATCCACACCTGTGAAGTGCCCAGAACGCTGCCTGGCACATCAAAATGGTGAGCAACTGGTAGCGTCGTTACTGATGATAGTAGCGCCGCATGTGCCGTCAGTGGTCTGGGGTGACGACTCATTCTGGGGTCCCCACTCCCTCTCCTGAGCTCCTGACTGGAATGTGTAACTGCCATCGGGCAGGCTGGTGCAAAGCCACCTTACCTGCGGCGCGGCAAGCCTGGAACCCGTGATCTCCACATCCTCCTTTGCCAGAACTCTCTGTTCTGAAGCAGGGCACCTCCCATTCATCTGAGCTACCAAGTTCATGTGCTGCAAATTCAGGGCTTTCTACTTCCTGAATGTCTCTGGAATCTGCCCTTCTGCATTCCCACGGCTCTGGGCCCCGCCCCTTGTTCTGGCCACCAGGGTTCCTGCCTTTCCAGCCTCCTTCCCAGTGCTAGCAGGTTATATTCTAAAGTTTAGACTGGTGATGTCTCCGTCTTGTGAAAAGATATGGATGACTCCCCATTGCTTGAAGAATAAAATTTGAACTCTTTAGGCCCTTCCCAGCCTGCCCTTCACCTACACTCCAGTCCCTCCCCCGTCCTGTCCTTACCCCATGGGGGGCCATGCTAGGATAGTTAAGACCACTTGCTGTTCCCACAGAGCAAATGGGAAGGTGAGGAAAGCTTCTTGCCAAGTCTGTGGCTCTATTAGGCGCAGATAAATGGGAGCACATCTGCCATGTCCCACCTCTGCAGTGAGGCTGAGCTGTGGGGCTTGGGCTTGGGCTTGGGCTTGGAAAGAGGGGGTTCCATCTGGACCACAGGGAAAACAAGACGTTGCCCTTCTGGGGGATTTCTGCAGCCCCAGACAAATACTGGGGCACAAATCATGGACAGGAACACGTGGCTGCGGCTTCAGAAACAGCCACATTGTCCCAGCCACCAAGAGACCCTCTTCTAGAATCACTGAAGGCAGCTTAGTCGGCTCCAAGGTGGAAAAGAAAGTGGTGGGGACATCCAGATAATTGGGGGTAATCCTAACCCTTTCTCCATCTTCACCGGTCTGAGCAGGAAACTCAGAGGACACTGACAAGCAATTAGCAGTAACACGTGGGGGGTTTGAAAGTACGCATGCGTGAAACACGGAAACAGTGGAAACATTTTTTACTCAGAATAAATGAGTAAGCAACCCCCTCCCGGGATGGTAACCAGATGGAAACCTGTGGGATTGCCAACCTGACTTCCAACTGAGAGGAGGATTCCCAGGACCCTCACCTCTTTCCTGGAGTACCAGCGCCAAGGCCATGCCTGTAGCACTTTCTGTGAACTCTCCTTCCCTTGCATAGCCCGCTGCTCCCCGACAGTCCCTCCGTCCATCCTGCCTACGTATAGTCTCCGCATGAGCTCCTGGGAGGCAGGGGGTGTCTGTTGTCTCAGTGCCCCCACCGCCCAGCCTGGCAGCGCCATGAGTGAGTACAAATCTCCCTCAACTTACAGTGGTTACGTCCCGACAAATGCATCGTAAGTTGAAAGTATCATAAGTCACAAACACATCTAATACATCGAACCTGCTGAACCTCACAGCTTAGCCTCGGCAGCCTTAACGGTGCTGAGAACACTTAATGTGAGCCTGTAGTTGGGCAAAATCATCTGCGACAAAGCCCATTTTATAGTAAGGTGTTGCCCATCTCATGTCATTTATTGAGTACTGTACTGAAAGTGAGAAACAGAACGGTTGTTTGGGTGCAGAACAGTTATCTGTGTATGGGGTCGTGACCCTCCCGATCTCGGGGCTGACCCGAAGCTTCGTTCTGCCGCCTAGCATCACAGGAGAGCCTCGTGTATCACTAGCCCGGGAAGAGATCCAGATTCACATTTCGAGGTAAAAGATCCAAACTCACAATTCGAAGTAGAGTTTCTACTGAGTGTGCATGTGCTTCGCCACCATCATAAAGTCGAAAAATCACAAACCGGACCATTGAAAGTCAGGGACTGACTGTAACTATTTGCCAAAAGACTGACTTCTGACAGGGGGGCGAGACGTGTCTGGTTTGCCCTTACAAAATCCACATCTTCCCTTGACAGGTGACAGTTTGTACGGCTGCAGGGGTCCTGCCCTCCTATACAGAGACTGCCAGCTTGTCCTCTACAAGGCAGCGGGGTGGAGATCAGGCGTTATCAAGGGGCCCCTGGGTGGCTTGGTCGGTTGAGCATCTGACTTCGGCTCAGGTCATGATCTCGCAGTTTGTGAGTTCAAGCGCCGCATCTGGCTTGCCACTGTCAGCACAGAGCCTGCTTCAGCTCCTCTGTCCCCCGCCCCATCTCTGCCCATCCCCTGCTTGCACCTGCCCACAAATAAATAAATATTTAAAAACAAAGAATATTTAGTGTCTATAAAACTGTTCACAATGTGTTTGCAAAGGGGGACTACAAAACAGCGTATGTATTATGAGCCCGTTTATTTATTTTGATTATTTACTTACAACCGTAGAAGAAAATTTACCAACATATTAACAAATTGTTGAATGAGAGTTTTACAGATAACTTTTATTTTATCTTTTTTGTTGTTGTTTATTTATTTTGAGAGAGAGAGAGAGAGAATATTCGAACACATGTGAGGCTTGAACCCATGAACTGTGAGATTATGACCTGAGCTGGGCACTTACCCAACTGAGCCACCCAGGCACCCCAGATAACTTTTGTTTCATTAATAATTATTATTAATTAATATATTTCTGGACTTGCCAAATTTCCTACATTGAACGTACATTCCTTTGCAATCATATATATGTAATATGCCTATATTTAGCCTTCAGGGTCACCTTGATTGGAAGGAGGAAAGTTAAACATAAATACTTTCCCCTCCGTAATTATGTTTAACTTCGGCCATTTCAAGCCAGTTCCAGGGCCTTTTTTTTGGGTCCACTTCCCATGTACCCATGCTGAGACCCCCAAAATGAGCACTCGGCAGCCCCTCCTCACCTCCCAAGTCTAAGGGCAAGGTGAGGCAGCTGGCAAACAAGGTAAGACAGAGTGTGACACAAAAGTCCAGGTGTAAGCAGAAGGTCTAGGGAGGAAGCGGTTCATTGTCATGGGGGAGAGATCAGAGAGGACACATTTGATGAACTGGCTTTTGAGCCAGCACAAATATTTCACGAGGCTAGACGTTCGATCCTGGTATGGAGCAGCAGATTCCTTCTAAACTCCCTCTAAACCTACTCCGCATAGTGTGATGACCAACACCTTTCTGCCTGTCAGAACAAGGTACAAATAAATCCTGCTGTACAGCTTACTAGCGAAGGACTTAACCTGAGTCTCAGTTTTCTCATCTCTAAAATGACAGTAAAAATATCACCTTCTTACCCACTAGATTAAAATAATAATGGGGGTGCCTGGTGGCTCAGTCGGTTAAGCGTCTGACTTCGGCTCAGGTCATGATCTCGCGGTTCGTGGGTTCGAGCCCTGCGTCTGGCTCTGTGCTGACAGCTAGCTCAGAGCCTGGAGCCTGTTTCAGATTCTGTGTCTCCCTCTCTCTCTGACCCTCCCCTGCTCATGCTGTGTGTCTCTCTCTCAGAAATAAATAAAACATAAATTTTTTTTTTTTTTAATAGTGGTATCGGGCTCCTGGCTGCCTCAGTCAGTAGAGCATAAGACTCTTGATCTTGGGGTTGTAAGTCCAAGTCCCACGTTGGGTGGAGAGATTAATATTTTAAAAAAGGTAAATAGAAATAATAATAGTAAATGATAAAGTTTTTTGAACATTTGCAACGTGTCTGACCCTGTTTTAAGCACCTTTGCACATTTTACCTCATTTAATTCAGAAACACCCTAAGAGGCAGGCATTATTTTTCACTCCCATTTTATAGATGTGGAAACTGAGAGGCATAGGGAGGTCAAAAAGCTTTGCCCAAATTCCAACCATAAGTGGGAGAACTATGGTACAAACCCAGCCTGTGACTCCAGAGTCCATACCCTTCAGTACACTCCTGGAGTCAACAATTACAATTATTATAAAAGCAAACATAATGCTTAATATGTGCGATATTTACATTATTTTTAAAAATTCTTTTTCTATTACTTTTATTTATTTCTATTTATTTTTTAATGTTTATTTATTTTTGAGAGACAGAGTGTAGGCAGGGGAGGGGCTGAGAGACAGGGAGACAGAATCTGAAGCAGGCTCTAGTCTCTGAGCTGTCAGCCCAGGCAGCCCAGGGCCTCATGTAAGGCTCGAACCCACAAGCTGGGAGATCATGACCTGAGCCGAAGGTGGACACTTAACTGACTGAGCCCCCCAGGCGCCCCTATTTTTATTATTTTTAAGCTCTTCCCCCTGGGCTCCTGGGTGGCTCAGTCGATTGAGCAACCAACTTTTGATTTCCTCTCAGGTCATGATTCCAGGGTCCTGGGATCCAGTCCATGCTGAGCATGGAGCCTGCTTAAGATTCTCTCTCTCTCTCTCTCTCTCTCTCTCTCTGCCTCTCTCCCCCATGCTCTCTCACTCTAAAATTTAAAAAAGTATATTTGTTTTTAAAATTTAAACTCAACCCCCAAGGTGGGGTTCGAACTCAGGACTCTGAGATCAAGAGTTGCACGCTGTACTACCTGAGCCAACCAGGTACCCCAACATTCACATTCTTACCTCATTCACCCCCCACTAGCCCTGTTGAGGTCCATTAGGCCTTGTTCACAGATGAGGAAACTGAGGCACAGAGAGACTAAGTAACTTGTCCAAGTTGTTTTTGCAGAGCTGGGATCGGGATGCAGGCAGTCTGGCTGCGGCGTCCGGTCCTATCACTGTAATACACTTAGAGAAGGATGCCTGTTTTGCTTACTGTCATTCTTACACTTCCCAACAGGCCTGCCTGAAATCAACTTAGTAGTGTAAGATGTTTAGATCCGGTCCTTCCCAGCAATAAAGATTCATGGAGGGGGGTGTTAATGGGGCAAGATGAACATTCCTGACTGAGATTTGGGGAGCAGAGCCACAGGTAAAGGAGCATCTGGGGAGGCCTCCTCTGCCAGGCCGCTAAATGGCCAGGGAAGGAAGGAGGGGAAGCTGGCACTACATCAGGGCTCCTGAGCGAGGCTCTGGGTACTAGTCGAAAGGCAAAAACCTCTTATTCTTCGGCAGAAGAGCTTCCCTGGGGCTGTACCATGGCCAGTTCCGAGGTGGTGGGCAGAGGACCCTCCCTAGAGGCCTGGGTGATGTCTTCGAGGGAGATTCCACTTACCGGGTGTCTCTCTCTCTCTTTTTTTTTCAGTATGTATGTATGTATGTATGCATTTATTTAAAGCAGGGGAGGGG